ATACCTAGAGCCTGTATGTCATGTGGAGCAGCAGCCAGAAAAGCAGACATGCTGGGCACGCCCCTCCTGTCCTGGGATTACAGCAGCTTCTGGTAACAGCAGAGCAGAGCTGGCCACACACCTTCCTGACTCTGACAGAAACAGCAACAGCTTTCTGCAAGTTAAGTGGCCCATAGCAGTTTGGCCTTCCACCCACCCACAAGTGAGGCTTGAAACTCCATATTCTGCAGCTATTCCCTATTTTCAGTTAACCCAGCAGGGAAGAGATGAATTGTGCTGAGGACAGGAGGTAAGGAGTTCTGTGAAACAGGGGATGCACAGATATAGCTGAAAGGGGCAAGGGAAATTGCATCAGTTTTCAGTAGTAGACAGTCCTTGACTTATTTTTCTCTTCTCCTTCCTACCAGGTACTCAATAAATGTCAGGCACAAGATGCAGAGAAGTAAACACTTTATTATTAAAGGGGGATCTGGCCATCTGCCCATGTCAGGTGCAAGATTATGAAATATGGCAATATACAGATGACCTTGGGAAAGGTTGCATTCACACATTTTGAGCCAGACGAGATGGGATTTTGGAGAGGCAAAAATCCTTGGGCTATTACATGTATTACTGTATATATATTATATCTAGATGTATGCATTGCAAATGCACATAAATGTACGGGTATGATTCTCCCTGAATCTACCACTTTATCTTCTTAAATGGATAGGATCTCATTTTAGATGGATTTGCTTTCAGCCAGCCTAGAGGCATGTGGGTTTTTTCATGCCATGAAAGATCTGTTATCATTTACAATCCTGTTTTGCAGCAGTTGCATTCCTCCAGTTGGTGACGGTGATCACAATATAGGGGATTGTGTTTTCTTGATTCCACAATTTAATCCACAGTGATGCTACTGAACACTATTATTAGGTATGCATTGTTGGGGATTCAGCTATTGTATGGGCATTGTATTATGTGTCTGAGGTCATGCTGTCACAGTGCTTTTTCAGACCTCTGAGTTGCTTAGTGCTGAAATGAAGCACTGCATTCAGTGACCTGTAGGTCAAAGTTTTCAGAATTGGTCATTAAATGTGAGTGCTGCACTTGAGGCAGTACATACCAGCAATTCCCAGGAGATGCTCTGGGTCTGGGAGACAGAAAGTGTCACAACCGGGCATCCCCAAAATGAGGCACCCTACATTTATCATTATTGGTTGTGTTTTTGTGAGCATAGATGCAGTCAGCACCAGTGAGAGTTCCCGGACTCTGAAAGGAGAAAGACTTTGAAGAGCCAAAGCTCATCTCTCTTGTAACTTCTAGGGATCACACCAGTGGCAAAGTAAAGTTACATTTTCCATGTAACAGGAAAGGAAACCATTTTCCTCCTGAGTTTATGCACAGCTATTCTTCTTGATCAGTTGCTTGTCATCAGCAGTGACAATCTCAAACATCCCAGACTCTTAACATTGTGAGAATTTGGGAAGAACATAGATCAGCTTTTTCTGTCTCTTTGTATGTGGGTTTATTTTTATTTTTTTAATACTGCAAATGATAAAGCGCAAGGTGCAGGCCAGGGTTTTGGGTAATGTGAGGCAGGTTTTTAGGGTTTGCTGCAGATTTCTGATAGCTCTGGGCAAGACAGTTTAACCTTTTCATGTCTGAGTTTCTTCTCACCTGTGAAATATGAATCAGGCTTACCTAACAGAGGAACTGTGAGTAATTATTTATTAATCTTTGTAAAAGGCAATGAGGTCTTTGGCTGGGAGCACTGTAGATTTGAAGAGAATTATGTATACAGGCAAATATGTATGCTTCACTAATGACACTTCTATATCTTATCTGTTAAAATAGCCCATGAAATGGTATGGAGAATCCCAGGACATGATATTAAAACTTCATTTATCTTATTGTGCATTCATGCTCTTTCATTGCATTGTTCCTTATCAAAATATTTCTAGGTAAAACTATGTTTTCTGTTTTTTATTCCTTGGGTGCCTTTACACATGCTCCAGCACGTTCTAATTAAAACATGTCAGAGCAGACTCAATTAATCAAGTTGTCTGGAGTATTCTAATTAAAATGTTCCAGTGTGCTGCAGCGTCACATGTATTCAGCATCCCACATTTCAAAATGATTGCGGGGGGTGCTTTAACTAAAACTCGTCAAATGAGCTTTAACTAAAGAATCTGTACAGCCATTTTGAAACATGGGACACTGAAATATGTGATGTTGCAGCATTTTAATTAGAGCAGAAGCTGCTCTAATTTACATCCCCCCCTCTCCCCCCCAGCATATGCATAGACAATCCTTGTTCCTTCTGTACAGATTAGTGAAGCATTTATGATGCATTGCCTTAAACATAATTTAGATGTATAAGACACTGGAATAGGCCCACAAAGGACAGACTCAAATAGAAGGAAATGGACATCTGCTCAGAAGAACACATTTATCACACACTTAAATAATAAATATATTGCTTGTCAGTATGAAGTAAGAACTTAATCCCTAATTTTTTAACCTCCTATGTATGCAATGCCACAGTTAAATGTACGTCAGTATTCAAAATCCAGTTTGTTAAATCTGGAGCATAGAATAGTATTTTATAGGACCTGCTTCTTTGTGTATACTTAAAGGATGCAAAATGCAGAAGTCAAATTTCAATGAGATTTGCTCTTCTACTGAAGGAAAAAAAAAATTGAGAGATGCAGATATACTACCTTTCGGTGGCTTCAGCTATCAGTGTATAGGTAAAGGGACCATACTCTCTCATCCTCTCAAACCTTTTTGCATAGAGGTAAATTCAGCACCTTCAGTCACTGCCTTTGATTGCACAACTATACACCAGATACAACTATCACACTGTCATTTATAGCAATAGGAACAGTCATTGTTAGAAAACGGTATCAGTGCCATTTCCTGCATTTGAAGCCCCAATATTGACTTCCTAGAAAAGTCTTGAAATTCAAATGGGATTATTCTTTTTTTTTTTTATTTTAAAAGTGAGTTTAATGCTTTTGGAAAGTACTGGACTGACAGCCCTGTCTCGCCACAAGACAGATACAAGATAGGCAACAGTATTAATTGCTCCTCTCATAGTCTTCTGCAAGTGTGCCTCAGGCCTAGTTAAGGCCCAGATTTAAGCAAGATATGAAAGTATATGAGTATTCCAGCAGAAGTCATAGGGCCTAATCATATTAAAGGGAGGAGTTTGCTAAATTGTGGCCTAGAAGGGTCCTTCTTTAGTTATGAAAATGTTTACCAAACTCCTCCACAGGCTTTATGCCCATGAGAGACGTCAGTTACAGAAGGTAGGAGCCTGTCTGTTGGGAAATTGAATAAAATTGCCAGCTTATTGCACATAGGTCACCAAGCAGACAGCACAGGGGTACAAACCATAACCATGACTAGTGGACAAGATCTGAACCAGAAAACCTGAAAGAAAAAGCTTCTTATTGCATTAAACCCATTTTCTGAGCCATACAGGACTACTTTCATATTACATATTTCTGTAAGATTGCTGTCATTCTTACTAAAAACACAGACTGAAAGCTGTTATTTCAAAGCTGAGGTGTAAATCAGAAGCATGTATGTTGAGCCATGTTGTCAGTTTTGATGATGTTTTAGTGTAAACAAAACTAAAAATCCTAGAGCATCGCTTCACACACTTTAAAAAATACAGAATTGCTGCATGGAAATGGGTACATCAGGGGTTGGCAATGTTTTTGGACAGTGTGGCAAAAATACCCACAACCTCAACTTGTAAGATGTTGGTGTGCCGGGGGACTACAGCAGGAGAGCCATGAGAGGCCCAATCCTTGTTGTGGCAGTGCAGCCCCAGCCCTTTCCCCACTGCCTGCCCCAAGGCACACATGCCAAGCAAAATGCCTTCACGTGCCATGCTGTGGTACCTGTGCCAGGCCTGGAGTATGTAGATTTTTAAGGCCAGAAGTGACACCTGATCTAATCTGACTCTTGCAGAACAAAGACCAGAGTGTCTCCTTGTCTCACCTGCAATGGAAAGAATTATTCATCTCAGTTTCCCTAATTAAGTCATAATAGTGACTGAGGATATGTTGTGGTCCAAAGGTGTAATTGCAGGTCATGTAAATATGGCCAAGAATGCTTTGAACTAGCTAGCTTGGGTACTGGTACAAGTTGAACTGCTACAACATAGGCTTCAGTTTAGGCTGTACAAGCCTTTCTGGAGCCCTGAATTGGAAGCTCAAGCCACCATAGCTGCGTTGCAGTATGTGAGCTGCTAGCTACTTTGAAGTTATCTCCAGCAAGCCTAGCGAAGTTGCAGTAATATATGTGGATTGCAGGTAGGCATCCCTTTACTGAGTTATCGTCTCATTGTATGTATTATTTGATCCAGGTATAACCCTATATAAGGTAGTGCTGGGTGCTGTACAAACATAAAAAATATTTGTTTTGAAGAACTTCATATCAGTGTCCAAACTCAGCTCCTACTTCTATCTGTCATTTAGAGAAAATTTGAAACCAAACTAATGTTAAAGAGTACATGCACTATCACCTTGAGAGAGGGGTCTGAACACTAGGTTCTTTTGAATAACCTACGTAATAGGGAGCCAAATGTTTTGACAAGCATGCCACAAACTAGTCCTGAACTCTTGCTTTGTACCACTCTAGTCCCCTTACACTGCTTGATCTGCTGTGTGCTTACTGCTCTGTGCACCCTTCCCAATCCATTGCTCTGTTTTGTGCTTCTTGTGCTGTCCTCCCTGCACAATTCATTGCTTCACTTTTTGGTCCCCTGTTCTGTCTGCCACTGTGTTGTCCATTCCCTCCCCAATCTGCAACATCACACACAGAGGCTGCTTGTACCACTTGTACCACAGGTCGGCCACCCCTGACTTATGTAATGCATACTTCATGGTCTCACAATGTATTGCTTCATAGGTAGATATCTGCAACCCAAAACCTCACATGCACACTCATAAACATAATCTCTAGCAGTTTCTGCAGAAGTCCAGGAATTAAATGGACTGTGGAGAATGGACAACACGGTGGTGCTTTTAAGAGGAATGAAGGCAGATAAGTAGGACAGTTTACTGTAGCTTGCACAAATACTGCCTTTGCAGTTTCAGTTCTCAGGGTCCAAAGCTGCCATTTCCCCTAGACCACATATAGGTATTATGTTTCTAGAATCACTGGTCTCCCAGTTGAAACTAGAAGCATACAAGCATTTGTTCCATTTCTTCCGGAGTAAATATGCCCTCTCCAGGAGAAAGATTTTCCAGGTTGACACCTATGATTTCCCTTGTGAGAGAAACTCTTACAAGAATGAACAACTGTACATTCCCCTAGGGTGCTTTTTGCTTTTTTCTCATATTTCTCTAAGAAATAGATAACTGAGAAGGATGAAGCTATATAATGCTCATATATATATCATGGGGTTAGCTGGCATTATAGTAGTAGCCACAAGGAGAAATAAGATCTTTTGCTGACAGTTCAAGGTCTGGAAGCCAGGACTCCTGTGTTCTAGTTTTAGTTTGGCTCCTGATTTATGCTAGCTTAGGTCTTTCACAGAAGGCTAAATTGTGGGTATACATTACTGTCCACACAACAGAAGATAGGAAGTGAGAAGGTCTTGCACAATCATCCCAGCTTCTGAAGACATTGTGCATAAGGTAGCCATAATGAGTCTAATTTTCAAAAGGGCTAGGTACCCACAAATTTGGTTGGAGTCATCAACTGAGAGCACGCAACAGCTATGAAGATCAGACACATCTTTAAATCCCTTCAGACACACCCAAGCATAGAGAAAGGGCATCATCTGTACCCTTTAATAGGAGGATGTCTATAGACAAAGCCTCTTATCCACAGTTTTTAACATAATACGTTAGGCATTAACATGCAACTGAACACCATTTGGAATTTCTCAGACTGATATATTTACACATCAACAGCAACCCAAAAGCCCAAAGCACTTTGCAAACATGAATGAATTAAGCCTCATAACACCTCTGTGATACAGATATCATTATGTCCTTTTTCCATATGGTGCTCCTGGTACTTAGAAGTCAAGTGATTTGCTCAAGGCCACTGAGCAAGGCAGGGGCAGAGCCAGAAATAGAACAGAGGTATGGCATGGTAGCTGAAGGGAGGCAACTAATAGGAACAGAACTCTAGTGTTGTTCTGGTCCTGACTGAAGGCTAATTTTCTTTTGCAAGCCCTGAGGGAGTGTACAGGCTGAGATTTATCCCAGTCGTTGGGCTGATAAACTGTCATTGACTTCTTCTGCAGAAATCAGTATGAGCTATATAAGGAAACAGCTGATTGGCTACTAGCTCATACTGCTCAGCGTCCAAAGATCGCCATCATCTGTGGTTCAGGACTGGGAGCTTTGGCGGACACTCTACATAACAAGACTGTCTTTCCATATGAGGACATCCCTTACTTCCCACAGAGCACAGGTTAGCATTACCCAACTGGTTATTGGTAGTAACTCAGTTATATCCATCAACAGCATGCATCAAAGCATAAAATCATCTCTGTGTACTAGTCTTTACATCAAACAAGATATCATCAAGTGTCTATCACCTCCTTGTTCCTCTCTTGACTTGGCATCCTGTCCTAAACTATCCATCAACAATTAAATACATCCTTAAGTCCACATTCTACCTGCAGTTTGTATACCATTAACATAGACCTTAACCCTGTGTCATCAGTACCAAAAGCTAAATCATATGTCAACAATTGTGTCTACCACCTTAAACAAATTATATTGATAAACAAACAGAAAGGCCTTACTGGTTGACTCAGAAAATTGGGAATATAAGAGCATTTCATCAATTCAAATTTAGTCTTGGTTTTAGTCACCACGAGTTTTTACCATGTTGCTAGTTCTTTGTTGTTTTGTGAGAAAACATTTGTTCTCAGCCCAGTTGCTAATGGGCGAATGCCAGCATCACAAAAACTATTGTAATTTGCATTGGCTGGCTCTCTTATTGGCTATGAGGCCAAAGGGTGAATGACCCACGAAGACAGAATTTGCCGTTGTTACTTCAAGGCCAGAAGTTAACACCCTGAAGAAGATTCCAGTAGCTAAGCACATAGATGGAAGGGAGAGAGCATGAGGGAAAACAGGACATTTATTTAAGGTCCCTGAATATAAATGCACAAATCTAACTATAGGCCCCTATCTTTTCACTGCAAGGTTCTGCTCTACTGTATAATCACCAGGCATCGTAACTTTCTGAAACCAAGAATCTTGATGCAAGTAATGCTTTGTTAATTGTTTCAGTACCAGGACACGCTGGCAGACTGGTATTTGGGGACCTGAGTGGAAAGCCATGTGTGTGCATGCAAGGACGTTTCCACTTTTATGAAGGATATGCCATCAGCACGGTGTGTATTCAATAGGCACAACGTTCTGCTGGGAAGGGGAGGCAGGACATTTCCACAGAGGTGGTTGATTTCTGGAGCCTATAAGGCAGAATTCTGCTACCCTTTATGTGTCCCAATGCCAATTTTCTAGCTGCAGAAGTGGTGTTTTTGGAACTTATGCAGTTTCTGATTCTGTTACCTCTGCAGTGTGGATACATAAACATCCACAGAGCTACTAGTCTATGTGCTGACCAGGCAGGTACACAGGTGCATATGTAGGTCACAAAATTCTGCATGGCCAAAGCTCATGACCCAGTGTTAGATGGCAGAAGGTGTTTTAGCCCCAGTAGCTGACTTGTTAAGGCATTCACTCAGGAAGTTTGTTCTAGTCTGTTTCACCCAGTGGCAAAGCTGGGTCTTAGGGGTGGTTGATGTGGGCAACCTCCCAGGGCACCATGGTCAGGGGGTGCCAAAACATACACACGCACATACACACACACACACACACACACAGCCAGGCAGGGTGGTGGGAGCAGCTCTGGCAGCTAGATGCAGGTAAGCCTATGGCAGGTGGTTGGAGGGCCAGGGCTTGGGGACTGTACAGGATGTTGTGAGGAGGAAAGGGGTTGGGCATGTGTGTATGTTTGTGTGGCAGGGGTGTGTAGAGGGGATAGTTGTATAGAAGTGCCTGCTGGTGCTGGGGGAAGGTGTCCAGGCACTGGGGCTGCAGCTGCAGCAGGGCAAAGGGGTGGGGGGAGGCACCTGCCCCTCCAGTGAAAGAAGGGGACAGCATGGGCAACTGGAGCTGCCTTAGTCAGGGGCCACGTGCCCCCCCCAGCAACCAGTCAGCATCCAGGGGGACGATCTCACTGACCAGAGGGGGCCCACGACTGATCTCGAGACGGCCAAAAGCTGCCGCCGATCTCTGCGGCCACTTCCGGAAGTGGCTGTGGCCACTTCTGGGAGAGCCACAGCACTCCACTCTCTGGCCAGTGCTTGCAGGGGGGCACTGGCGCTCCCCCTTCCCCCACCCATCGCCTAAGCAGTGAGCGTGGCCGGTCAGAGGGTGCACCAGCGCTCTCAGGGGGTGCACCCCCTACGCATTGCCACTGGGGGGCAGGGAGGCCCTTTAGGGGCAGCAGGGAGCTGTGTGGTTGAACCATTGGTAGGAGCAGGGTGGCTGGGAGATGCTGCCTTGGGGGGGTGGGGCATGGCCAGGCTACCTGGCACTGTGCAGGAGCCCCCAGTCCAGGGCACTGTCAGGGCTGTGGGGGCTGTAGCTTGGAGTGAAGAGTACCAAGGGGGGCGGGTGACTGTGGGTCAGGAGTAAGGGGAACTGGCGGGGACAAGGGCTGTGGGTTGGGAGTGAGGAGCACCAGCATGGCCCAGGGAGATGGGGGACTATGGGTTGGGAGTGAGGGGCACTGGCAGGACCAAGGGGCTATGGGTCAGGAGTAAGGGGCAACAGCATGGCCTGAGGGCAGGGCAGGGGGACTGTGGGTTGGGATGAGTGGCACTGGCAGGGCCAGGGAGCTGTGGGTCGGGAGTGAGGGGCACTGGCAGGGCTCAGGGAGGCTGTGGCTTGGGGG